GTAGGTAGGTAGGTAGGTAGGTAGGTAGGTAGGTAGGTAGGTAGGTAGGTAGAGATTTTATTGCAGACTCAAAGTCCAAGTCACATAAAAAGAATAAATCACAACAATAAAAGAAATAAAGTGAAATTTTTCTTTTTGTGGTGTTTTAAATCAACATTTATTTCTAAAGGAAAACAAAAAGAACTACTGTTGACCAAAATTATTTACAATTTAGTCAATCAAAAAATAATATTATAAGTAAAAAGGAAAAAAAGCACAAAAGACCATAAAAATAATGAATTCAGGAGCTGGAATGAAAAGCTGAGTACTAAAATTGTCAGAAAAGGAGAAAGAGAAATAGAAATGTGAACAAATGGGCAGATGGATAAACAGAAAAATACACCAATTTGACACAATATATTAAGTGAAATCATAGCATCACCAACAGAACCTGAAACATAAAAGCAAAATTTTACAAGAATGGGTCCAAAAAGACTAAATCAACATTTCTCAATGTTCAAAATATCTGCACATAATTTACATCTTTAAGGATAATTTTACTCACTACATCAACATCTTCACACATTATTACTACAGAGTTTCCAAATATTTACAAGTCTTTGTTTGTGTGCACAACAAAAACTAACATAAAGTATATAATAGAAAAAATCCAGCGTGACCAAGTAGTACGTACCCATTTCCAGTTTTCTATTTTTTGTTTAATTGATTTTGTGGACATTTTATATGGTTAATAAAACAAATATCTATTTACGACCCAGCACATTACTGGACATTATGTGAAGCACAATTTTAGACAAAAAATTATAAAGCGTGTAAATTTTGAATAGTGCTGTAATTTTTTTATATTTACCCTTTTATTCCCTCATTTTATCGATCCAATCTTTGTTTTTACCACCTGTTCTTTTTTCTGTGTTAAACCTTTTAATTTCTGCTGTTTTTAATGTTTCGTCGTTCTGTTTACGGCTTCGTTCTTCTACAGGAACTGTGAGGATTGTGTATCAGGTTTTTACAGCTGACAGATGTTGAGGAGAGACATAAATGAAAACAAACATCCTGCGTTCATCCGTTTACGCCCTGCTGCTCCTTCCCTCCGTCAGACTCTTTGTGCGTCTGCAGATGCTGGATGAAACCGTCCAGGATGAGCTGAGCCGACATGGAGTTCACGTCCTCTGCATCCTTCTCTAAAAGCAGCACCTTCAACCCTCCCCTCCCTTCCCACCTGCCTGCGCGGGCCTGCTGCTGGGGGTCCAAAGGGGTGCTGGCGCTGGCCCGGGAGGACTGCTGCTGGGTTGTGGGGTAAACGGGCTGCGGTTTGGCTGGAAAACTCGTTCTGTAGACCGAAGCGTCGCTGTCAGAAGATGATGGGAAGTGGGTTGACTCAAGCTGACCCGAACGACCAGGTTTGTTTTTGTTCTGAGGCGGACTTGCTTTGACCGGCATGAAGGCCGTGACCCTCTGTGACCCGGTCTCTGATTTGTTCAACCAGTCGTGCTCCTCCTCCACCTCCTCCTCCTCCTCGGGTTTAGGGTCAGAGGATTGGTTGACTGGAAAAGAGGTGATGAGGAACTTCTGAACTGCTTCGGCTGATCCAAAGTGCTTCTCCAAGAGCTCCTTCAGCAAACGTGGCACCTAAAACAGAGAAACTCACAATTTATCTCTCAATTTACTTGATGCTTTTGGATAATATAATCAGCTAATGGCAAATTTTGATGTCAATCTGTTAGTACTGTGTCAGGGATACAGCAGGTAAAATAAGTATTGAACACGTCACCATTTTTCTCAGTAAATATATTACTAGAGGTGCTAATGACATGAAATTTCCACCAGATGTCGGTAACAACCCAAGTGATCCATACATACAAAGAAATCAAACCATAAATGTCCAGAAATGAAGTTATTTGTAATAATGTGGAATGGCACAGGGAAAAAGTATTGAACACATGAAGAAAGGGAGGTGTAAAAAGGCATGGAAAGCCAAGACACCAGCTGAACTCTCTCAGTAATTAGAAAACAAGCCTGCCCCTTGTCAGTGCAAGTTAATATCAGCTGGTTCAGTCCCAAATGATGAAGACCTTCACAACCTTATTGTTGCAAAGCATAATGATGACATCGGTTACAGAAGAATGTCTAAACTTCTGAAGGTTCCAGTGAGCACTGTTGGGGCCATAATTCAGAAGTGGAAAGAACATTATTTCACCATAAACCGACCACGACCAGGTGCTCCTCGCAAGATTTCTGACAGAGGAGTGAAAAGAATTATCAGAAGAGTTGTCCAAGAGCCAAGGACCACTTGTGGAGAGCTTCAGAAAGACCTGGAATTAGCAGGTACGATTGTTTCAAAGAAAACAATAAGTAATGCACTGAACCACCATGGCCTGTATGCACGCTCACCACGCAAGATTCCACTGCTGAAGAAACAGCATGTTGAAGCTCCTTTAAAGTTTGCTGCACAACATTTAGACAAGCCTGTGTAATACTGGGAGAATATAGTCTGGTCAGATGAGACCAACACTGAACTGTTTGGATGCCAGAATACACATCATGTTTGGAGGTCAAATGGCACTGCACATCAGCCCAAAAACACCATACCAACAGTGAAGTTTGGAGGTGGGAACATCATGGTGTGGGGCTGTTTTTCAGCATATGGTACTGGCAAACTTCAAATAATTGAAGGAAGGATGAGTGGAAAAATGTGCAGAGACATTCTTGATAAAAATCTGCTTCCATCTACCAGGATGATGAAGATGAAACGTGGCTGGACATTTCAGCAAGACAATGAGCCCAAACACAAAGCCAAGGAAACTCTCAGTTGGTTTCAGAGAAAGTAACTAAAGCTGCTGGAATGGCCCAGCCAATCACCTGACCTGAATCCAACAGAAAATCTATGGAAAGAACTAAAGATCAGAGTTCATAGAAGAGGTCCACAAAACCTTCAAGATTTGAAGACTGTTTGTGTGGAAGAATGGGCCAAAATCACACCTGAGCAATGCATGCCACTAGTTTCTCCATACAGGAGGCGTCTTGAAGCTGTCATTGACAACAAAGGCTTTTGTACAAAGTATTAGATAAATTTCAGTAAGTGTGTTCAATACTTTTTCCCTGTGCCATTCGACATTATTACAAATAACTTCATTTCTGGACATTTATGGTTTGATTTCTTTGTATGTATGGATCACTTGGGTTGTTACCGACATCTGGTGAAAATTTCATGTCATTAGCACCTCTAGTAATATATTTACTGAGAAAAATGGTGACGTGTTCAATACTTATTTTACCCGCTGTAGCTAGCTTTAGAATTTCAGCTATGTTCTTCTAAATGTAAATGTGGGCATTCTCACAACTTTCTAGTATTGCTTTAGCATTTAGCTTTAGCATTTAGCTTTAGCATTTAGCTTTAGCATTTCAGCTAGGTTCTAAATCAAATGTGGGCATTCTCACAACTTTCAAGTGTTGCTTTAGTATTTAGCATTAGTAGTTAGCTTTAGCATTTTAAAATAAACAAATGATAAATTTATTAAAACTAAACAAACAATAATCACAATAAATAAATAAACAAACACACAGATGGTTACAGGGTCTGAAAGGGCCAGATGAGCACGTTGTAATGTTCAAAACTAAATCACATTTTTTTCACAGTGAACACAGCAGCAGCGTGTCCTGTGATTTTATTTTTTTTCTTCAAAAAGGCCAAGAATCCTCTCAGTCAGGAGCAGCAGATTGTGAAGCAGCTGTTGGTTCTTTGCTTGAGGTGAGCCTAACCAGCCATCAAGATGCACATTCTGCAAATGGCTTTCATGTTGTTCAAGCAACGACACAGAAGTGGGTGTGACGGGTGAGAAATTTTAAAGTGGTGCTTGTCTGTGGAAAAGTGGGAGGTTTAGTCAGTTTTCAAATCTCAACCAGGTTCACCTGCCATGATCTACGTGTTTCTGTGTTTCTCTGTTTCTCTGTTTTCTATTATCATTTTCTACGTTTTCCTGTGTTTCCTGCCTTAAACAGCCTATTTCCCTCAGTCAGTAATTTTCCATTGTCAGCCTCGTGTCCTCAGTCCTGCCACACCTGTTCCCTGTCCCATTAAGCTCAGTTGTCTCCTACCTTCTCGTCAGTCCCATTCTTTATAGGTCTTCAGTTTCACATAATATTTTTATATTGTGCTTTAGCCTACATCCTCATCCTTGTTCCTTAAACTCTGTTCATGTGAAAATAATAATAATTATAATAATAAAAGTTGTGTTTTGCTTTTTCAACATCTTCATATCAGCCTGCAGTCTCTGGGTTTGACCTTGCACAACCATGACATCGCTTTTTCCCCACCTCTAAGACCCTGGCCTCTTTCATCTCGAAGATGTTAACTGAAGCGGCAGAACTCCTGCAGAGCATTCACACTTTTCCTCCCTGTTTGTCCTGAAACAAAGTTCTGATCTGTTTTTTTAACCGTGTCACCTGCTGTGACTTTAAGAGTGTTCCTGCTGGGTCTACTGAAGGAAAAACACCTCCCAGCTGAGCTTGTCTGGCTTTCATAAATTACTTTTTTTTTTATCTGGAATGAGGCGTCACACGAAGCTGGGACACTTTTGGACATATTTTCAGCTCCAGGATCATCTGTCCAGATCTGCCAAGGTGGGTTCTAAAACTTATGGATCACAAAACCCTGATAGAGATGAACAGGAGGGTTAGAAAGTGTCATTTTCCCATACTCTGCAAGTTAGTTGCACTTCACAAAAACAAGACTGCTTGTTTAAGGGATTCTGTTTTTAGATGTTTGACAATCATCGCTCTATGACTTTTACACCTTTAGGACTTAAAAAATAAATGGGAAAATTTGGAGCTGACCTTCGTCCACAGCCCCTGGCAAAAAAAGGAGCAGGATTTTTAGAATCTGCATGCTTTTATGCTTGAACGTCAGTATAAAACACTAAAAATATGAACACACACACACACACACACACACACACACACACACACACACACACACACACACANCACACACACACACACACACACACACACACACACACACACACACACACACACACACACACACACACACACATATGCAGACAGACTGAGCAACCCCAGGTTCAATGCCCAAGGATATTTCAGAATGTGGAAAGGGAATTTGGGATCAAATATGCAGCTTTCTGGCGGACAGACGCTCTTCTGAGCCATAGCTGCTCATAAACATTACTAATTGGTGTGGTCTGAGTGTGTAGGAGTGGTTCACAGGACACACAACACACCAAGTCCAGACCAAAATAAACACAAAAATAGGGAGAAACCTCAGACCAGAAATCCACTTAGCCTTGAGAACCAAAAACACAAAGGCAGAAAATTAGGAAAACAGTATAGCTAAAAACTAAAGTTAAATTTTTTTTATTAAATAAAACAATGGCTTATTGTCAAATTAACAACAAATTAGCAAAATTGTATCTAAAAGTTAAAACTAACAAACAGTAGCTAAAATGTACTTTTTGTAAAATGGTAGCAAAAAATCCAAAATTAGTAACTAATGAGCTAAAAGCAACAATTTAAAGTCAAATACAGCAAAACTAAAGATAAAATTTGCAATGAGCCAATCAATAGTTAAAAGCTGAAACTATCAAGACAGAATTGATAATTATGCAACTATGACATTCAGATATTCAAACTATAATATCATTCTGTCATCAGAACTATGACATCATTCTGACATCTAAACTATGACATCATTCTGTCATCAGAACTATGACATCATTCTGACATCTAAACTATGACATCATTCTGTCATCAGAACTATGACATCATTCTGTCATCAGAAGTATGACATCATTTCTTTTAACATCAGCAAAACTAATTTCATTCTATTCAGACCTAATAAATTTGTAACATCTATTGATCACATTAATATAAAAATTAAAAATAAGATGTTAATGAGAGTAAATTCTACTAAGTTCCTGGGGGTCATCATAGATGAGTCCTTAAATTTAAAATATCATGTTGAACATCTTCAAACAAAGTTGTCTAAGTATGTCTGCCTGTTTTTTAAACTAAGATATTAACTGCCTCTATCTACACTCGCTATATCTATAAAACTTTAATTGAGCCACATATCAGTTATTGTAATATTATATTGTGCAACACTTACCCTAGTTATCTCAAGAAACTTGAAAGCCTTCAAAAGGAGCTAATAAGAGCTGTGTCGTGGTCTGAGTATAATGCTCCTACATCCTATTTTTTCCATCATTTTGGTCTCCTTCGGCTAACTGAATTAAATGTGTACCATAATGCTTGTATGATGTTCCAAATTGTAAACAAAATTAGTAAAAGATTGACTGAGCTCGTTCCATTTAGTAGTCCACAGCACAATAATGAAACCAGAAAAAAAAAACATTTCATTCATGCTAAAAGTAGAAGACTTAGAATCACCACTCTAACTTTGGCTTGGAGGGGCCCTCAGATCTGGAATGAGCTTGACGAGAACTTAAAAAGGTTTGAATTCATCTCCACCTTTAAAAAACAGTTAAAAACCAAATTGCTCTCTTTATATGTCTGAGACCACTTGTAGGATTTGCAATGGATGATCAGAAGTAGTACAGTCTGTGTTGTTTATGTTGTGTAATGATATGTATAAAGAATGTATGTTTGTGTAGTAGTATTTTAAATTAACCAGATTGTATGTACACACTCCTTTACGAGCTTTCATTAGCTTCTCGGAAACCTGATTCACACACTGTGGTATATGTACTATGTGAATTTTGCATTATGTAATATGTGAATAGGTGTGAATAAACTGAAACTAAACTGAATATGTCATCAGAACTATGACATCATTCAGTCATCAGAACTATGACATCATTCAGTCATCAGAACTATGACATCATTATGTTATCAGAACTATGACATCATTCTGTCATCGGAACTATGACATCATTCTGATGTCTAAACTATGACATCATTCTGTCATCAGAACTATGACATCATTCGTTATCAGAACTATGACATCATTCAGACATAAACTATGACATCATTATGTCATCAGAACTATGACATCATTATGTCATCACTATGACATCATTCTGACGTTTAATCTATGACATCATTCTGACATCAGAACTATGACATCATTCTATCATCAGAATTATATCAATCAGCTAAAACTGTCAACAAATTTGCTAAAAGTTCAAATGAGATCTAATGTAACTAAAAGACAAAATTATACCTGAAAGTTAAAACTATCAAACGATATCTTAAGTTTAAGTAGTGCAAAAAAAGTAGCTAAAATCTGTAATTGTCCACAAATTGGCTAAAAGTTCAAATAAACTGCAAAATTTCAAATGAACTCCAACTAGAGAATTTGCATTTCCAACAAAAAATCCAGCGTGAATGCTCAGTGCTGAAATATTTTTCCTCAGCTGCTGAACATGTTTAATAACAAAACTGTTAATGTGCGTTAAATTTGAACAGCTGACGTTTGTTGAAAGTAGGAAAATAAAAGTAGCAGAAGACAGATGATAAACAGAGTAAAACGATAAAATGAGTATAAAATTTAATTTTTTTTGTAAAATAGCCAAAGCAGTTAACGCAGCTAAATAATAGCTGAAAAGCTGAAATTAGTACAGAAATACAAGTTTGCTGAATTAAGCAGTAAGAAGCTGAAATTATCACAAAAAGGTGAATTTAGATGAATAAAGCTAAAATTACGTGAGAGATCTACAAAGTAGTTAAAAATGCAGAAAACAGCTGAAATTAGTGGAATTCAGCTGAAAGAAGCATAAAAAGTTTAATTAACAGAAAGAAGCTGAGAAAAAGTAAAAAAAAACTTGATTAAAAACCTAAAAAGTTTAAATTAACAGATGAAAAGCTAAAAGGAGCTGAAAGATAAAAATGCTGAATAAATGCAGAAAATAGCTAAAATGAGCAAAAACAGAAGTTGAAGGAAGCTGAGATTTGCACAAAGAAGTTGAATAAAAGCAGAACCAGAACAAAAGATAAAAACAACAGTGAAGATTTTAAAACATTTTAGGCTAAATAGCTGAAAAAGTATGAAATACCAGAAAACACCATCCATGGCATAAACGATTTAAACATTTTGATATAAATTAGATGTCGAAAAACATGGAGGAAAAAAGGATCATCTCAATAGTGTGAATGCTATGAGATGATCAGAAATTATCAGCTGTTTGGCCCTAGTTGTTCCTCTTCCCCCCTGCAGTCTGTGGAAATCTGTTGTGTAGATGCGTGTTTCTGTCCAGTAGATGGCAGTGTGCTCACATTAATGTTCTCCAGGGCTGTGATGGTCCTGTGGGCCTCCTCCAGTTCTGAGCCCAGCTGGGACACACGATTCAGCAGAAACTTCCTCTCACTGCTCACACTCTCAGACTGCACACACAAAGACAAGGGAGAAAGATAAAAAAAAAACATTTTACCCACGACTGGCTCGTCTCCAATCAGTGGTGCCAGTGGGAGAATTTGCAGGTCCCCCAGTGGCCCTCCAGTTTCATCCTCTTGAGTACCCATGTTTTTTTTGTTTTTTTTTTGTCAAATCACCTACCTATTTAGGAATATAACCTCATAGATATAAAAACAACCACTGATTTTTTAACAATTAAGAGTTAAGAACATTAATTTATATTTTATTTAAAATAAAAAATTAAATTAAAATTCAAATGTAACACCTCTGAATAAGGACAAGCAGACCAGTCTAAAACCAATGTTCTCAAATAAAGATGGAGGTTCTCATGAGGTTATATTCATGGATGTATGTATTAATTATATATTAATTAAATAATTGAAATAATTATATAATAAATATAAAATGAGGCAGTACAGTGGCACAGCTGGTAGAGCAACATATTGCCTCTATGGAAGAAGATTTCTAGATCAACTTTCTAGGTTGTGTTTACATCTTCTCCCTGTGCATGAGTGGGTTTTCTCAGGTACTCCAGTTTCTCTCACAGACCAAAATCACATTTATTAAAATTAATGTGTCACGAAAAGCAAATAACTCAATAATTTGGGATAACATTACAGTAGAAGTGATTGTTTTAGTCTTTATTTCCCGCTTTGGGTTTTTATAATTAGTTTTTGTTCACAAAATAAACACCAATACATAGAAGAGGTGACGGCTTTAAATTTTAAAAAGCTTGTTCCTTGTAAAAGTCTTTAAAATATATATTTTGACATTTTTTAAATGAAATGACGGCAATCATTTTTGTAGGGAAGTTTCCCCATCACATTTAAAATTTAATTCATTTAAACCCCCACATTTACCATAAAATATGAGTTCACACAGCGTTTCTCCTGCTCAACAAATAAATTTATTTTAAATTTATTTATTTTAAATTTAAGTGTTGGCCGAAGTAGGTAAAAGTTAGTTTTACAACCTGTTAAAATACACCAGAATGCAGGAAATGGCATCTACTTCTTTCAAAATTTCCTGGGGGAGGACCCCCCCCGACCCTCCCGCCAGTGGGTTCCCTCAACATTACAATTCTGCCACTGAAATATGTAACATGTAAGGACAACTCATTGTACTCCATGTGTAAAGATATAGAACGAAGTTAGAATATAGACTGTTGCAGATGTGCAGATAGTTTGGGGTCTTGTTTTCTGCCCCTGAACGTCACAAAATCAGTAATATTATCAGTAAAATTACAAATTGAACACCTGTTGGCAAATCTAAAGCTCTGTATTGCCATGGTTTTCAAATTGTCATTTTTATAACCACTTCATAAACATTTCTGTTATAGATATTCGTTTTGGTGTGCCACCCCTGGTTTTTCAGTGGCCCCCCCCCACATGCCCCCTGAAAAAAATTTCTGCAGACGCCACTGTCAATAAGTGATTCCTCACCGCTACGTGCAGGTGCTCCTCCAGTAGGTTGTCGGCCTGCTGGGTCCCAGAGTGAGTCTGCAGGAGACTTTGGAAACAAAGAGGACAGTTATTATAAGCAGCTGTTTGTGAGGCAAACACAACACCTGACACCCAACTGGAGCTCAGAGGGATATTCAGTCCCACTGCTCCAGTCTGAAGGAACGTCTGGAATGTGCTCAGCAGGCTGAAGCAGTTGTTTGGAAACAGAAACAGGCCTGATCAGGTCAGGGAGGAAGGTTTTAGTTGGTCTGTCCACGACGTTCCCAAAAAAGGACAAAACTATGTCTCTTGTTACTCCATGATGTCGCATAGATTAACAAATGTGCACACATTGTAACAATGATTGTTTCTGGATCATCAGTTTTCCACTCATATTCTGTTAATCGTCACCTCTTGTATTTCTCTTTAACATGACTCAGCTCGTCTCTGGTCCTCTGCAGCTCTGCCTCCAGGCTCTCGATGCAAACCACCGTCTGCAGCAGGTTCTGGTGGAGGTCCGCGTTTTCCTCCTGCAGTGCCCTGAAGCACAGAGAGACACAGCTTTAAACCTTTATCTGCTGCTGCAGTGTTCATCAGAAGAAAAAAAAACACAAAAACCTGAAGAATAACTCTTTACAAAACATTTCTTTATATGTTTGAACCATATTTCTTGCTAATATGCTGAAAAAAGCTAATTAGCTTTGTGCTGTGCAGAAGGGTGGTGTTTTTTGCTTGTGTATGCGTTTGTCTATAGTGTTAGCAACATTTCTCATGAGCCAAATTTTGTTGCATTTTTCAGAAAGTAATGATTGTTTGATCTGTGGTTTGATTTGGTGTTGGCCTACAGTGCTGGCCCAGCTGGACTCAAGATGGCTGCCACAGTTATTCAGACATGCACATTAAAAGCTACAACAGTCAGTTTTATAGATGTTGAGCTAAAATTTGACGTGGTGGTGCTGGGAGTCATCCACAACATAAATTTAGAGGTTTGACTGAAAAAGTCTGTGACTCCGTGATTTTTTTTCTGCTTAACTGAACTTATACTTTTTTTTTCAGCTTCTCCTTCAGAGAATGACAGGCCTTTTGTATAAATATTTATAACGTTTATGGAGCTTTGTTTTAAGGAACATCTTTAAATGATTTTTATACGTTGGTTTCAGTGTTGAGCAGGGTTCAGCTAATTAGATGACAGCAGATCTTTAATTTTTTTAGTGGTTTAGCTTTTTCACTAACTTTGAAAACCGTTAGCAGACCAATTAGCTTCTGCTAAATTAGTTTTTGCTAACTTAAGGTTCGCTAACAGCTAACTAACAAACTAACAGTGGCAGTGTCTAACAGGTTTTTGTCAGTCCCACCAGTCAAACTGAAAGGAGACAAGTGTGTGCGACACAGACCGTCTGTTAGTGTTACTTCTGCTAAGTTTTAAATTTTTCTGGTTTCGCATTAGTGAAGTTATACTTTTTTTTTAGTTAGAAAAGTTATATTTTAAGTTTACAGACTATGAGCAAAGCTAGCCAAATTTTGTCTCAATAGCTGTGTTTCCTAGTTAGTAGGCCTATTAGTGTCTGGTAGTGTCTACCACAGGTTTCTACTTGCGTAGCTGTTTAGCATTTAGCAAAGCTAATTTTTTGTTTAGCTGTGCCCACCACTAATAGGCTCATTAGCTATAAAACCTACACAACTGGGTGCTTAAGTTGTAGTATTTATGTGCCGAATATTACATTTAATGTGAAAATTAAGCTCTTGTAGATTATATGAAAATTAATACGAATATTTAAAAGTTAGTCTAAAGGAACGGAAGCCGAGAGTGGCCATTTTCTAACGAGGAGTTCATTTCCAGATGGTTTTCCATCAGTGGTAAGGTTTCCTTTTAAAGGCAACCTAGTGTACATAATTTTGTGTCATTTTTGTATCATTACACAGGCTGAAATTGCAATTTGTTTGTCTTGTGCAGATAACTTTTCATATCAGCCCTTGTCATTTAAGGAGATGGCATGGTTAGTGAATGATGCCCAAGAAAACCATTGAGAAATTAGCCTATTATCTCTAGAAAACATTCCTCATTATTTCGTGATAACGACATAATTAACCACATAAAATATCTTTATCACGAGAAAACCATGGAAAAAAAATATGCCTGGAAAACCGCCGCTCTCGGTTTCCGAATAAAAGTTCTTCATTGTGGCATTTTTTGTTTTCTCTTTACTCGACGGTGCACAGTTCATGAAAAACATGGAGATGGTTTTTTAAATAGAAGTTCCACAGCAACACCTCCTCTTCTTTAAACAACCATTGAGGGCAAAGGCACAGGAGGGAGGAGGGTCATTAATGAATTCAGTAAATCCTCAGACTCACAGAGAAAAACATGTGCAAACCTGGATTCAGACAACAGACAGAGAATAAAACACTTACTGAAAATCATCAGGATCGCACAGCATGTCCTGGAAAATTTTAAAAATATAAAAACAGTAGGTGAGAAATAGCAAGAAATATGAGAATATAGTTGATATACAATAAAAATACAAATCAAAGTAGGCAATTTGTACTCTAGTATAGGGCTGCCACGATTAATTGATTAATCGACAACTAATCGATTAAAATAATCGACGATGACTAATTTAATAATCGATTAATCGTTTTCTTTTTTTTGTTCTTTACTTTGTTTTTCTCTCCAAACTGCTTTGACACCTTCCACTGCCACATCTGCCTTTCTGTCCTTGACACACATGCACAGCAGTGGTAACTGGGGTAGGCCGTGGACGTCACAAAACATTATACAGACAGGCTCTGGTATCATGGCTACCTGACAACGGAGCTCAAAGTGTGGGATCATTTTAAGAAAATGAAAGAGAAACCTGTGTAATATCTGCAGAGCAGAACTTGCCTTCCACAGCAATTATTTTTAGTTAGCATGTAGCTAAAATCTAACCATGGTTATATAATAGCAGCTGCATTCTGGCACGATAAGCTGTATGTTTTATATTCAATTAATGTATGATCCGATTAGTCGACTAATCGAATAAATAATCGGTGATTAATCGATTATTAAAATAATCGTTTGTGGCAGCCCTATTCTAGTACATAAACAACATGTTTTTAAAGGTAAGTTTTGACTCTTGAAATATGAACACTCCTGCTATACTGTTGTGAGAACTTTAACCCCACATGCTGTGTTGTTTAGTTTGCATTCCAGAGGACAATGCGTCACCATCCAAAAAAAGCGCGCCCGGTAGTAAACTGGAGCTTTTCAACAGCTCCTTTTACAGAAAAAACAAATACGGCTTCACTTAAAAACACAGATTTTCAAAATGAGGAAGAATGAGGACATAAACAAACAAATTGTCACTTCACAGAGGACGTGACAAACTCAATAAATAATTGATTTGGGAGAACTTTGTGCTAAAATCATTTTGTTCTGTGAGGCTAAAGCACTGCAGGGTTTTTCCTCTTTATGTGAACATACAAAGCTGAACAAGTCATGTAAGGCCAGATCTGACACTACTTGTGAGAAAATCAAAAGGAAATCTTATGTAATGCTGGCTCATAGAGAAGGAAGGGGGAGTCTGAACAGATTCTTACATAAGAGCCACCTGATAGCTGCTCTAATTCGAGCTGCATCTTCCTTGGAGTGTTAGTTTCTGGTGCAAACTGCACAGATTCACAGTTCCTTTATCTGAACTCACGGTCCTTTCAGAGCACAAACTGGGCAGGGTTTTCACATCAAACAGAACAACACAGAGAGCGATGCGTCAGGTAGTTTCTGAAGAAATCTCCCCTGAAAGCTCCAGGGAATTGTTTGCTGCATTACAGAACAGTGACTCAGCTTGCAATGCGGAGTATTTGACACAGCCCACTCAGCCTGAGTCAGAGGCACGGCCTCTGCTTTTACTGCGTTCATTCTGTACGCAAAGATATTAACACTTACCAACAGAACAGTGCCTTTGTGGTGATAATCAAAACTACTTTTACAGCCAATTGAGCTGTGCTGTTTGTACAGCTTAATAAAAAGTTAAGCAACCATCTCCCATCCCCCTCTGCCACTAGAAATAAGTTCCCCACCTCTTTTCCTTCCAACTGAAGACTGGTGGGACTGGCACAATGTTAACATGTTAGACAGCTGTTATAGACTTAAAATTGGCAAAATCTAATTCACCGTTGGTAATGGTAAATGGTACTGAACTTATAGAGCGCTTTTCAAGTCCCTCCGGACCCCCAAAGCGCTTTACACTAACAGACATTC